GAAGTGTCAAACAGACTGAACTGGAATCCCATAAAATCCAAATACATGACTTTCTATTGTAAATAGCAATGACATTAATGACAATAATTATTCTGTTGTGATTCATGCTTTAGAACATGTCATCATATCCTCAAAATAACTGTTCTAGGCAGACAGACTAAATATACTTATCTACCATATACAAGGACCTGAGGCTTAGAGAACTGAGTGATTTCTTCACAGACACAGAAAATGGAAGAATTAAAAGAGCACTTGAAGGGTTTGAATGTATTGTCCTGTTAAAGCCAAACCTCACCCTCAAGAGAAAGTCAATGGTCATTACAAGCATCATTGGAGGACAGAATGTAGATTTTAGTAAGTTCAGCTGGGGCCTTGTATTTGGTAGGATCAGGGTGTGTGTGTGTGTTGGTGTGTGTGTGTGTGTGTGTGTGTGTGTCTGTGTGTCTGTGTGTCTGTGTATGTGTCTCTGTGTGTGTGTCTGTGTGTGTCTGTCTCTATGTGTCTTTGTATGTGTCTCTGTGTGTGTGTGTCTGTGTCTATGTGTCTGTGTATGTGTCTCTGTGTGTGTGTCTGTGTGTGTGTGTGTGTAGGTTAGAAATTGACATTGGGTGTCTTTCTCAATAGCTCTCCGCCTTATTTTTCAGACAGTTTTTCTCTGAATCTGGAGTTCATTAATTTGGCTAGGCTAGTCAGTCAATCAGTTTCAGGGATTCACTGGTCTGTTCATTCCTCCACTCCACCATGGGTCACACTCAGCATCATGCCCAGCTTCTATGTGGGTGCTAGAGATCGGAACTTATATCTTCAGGCTTGTATACCTAGCATTTTATTTGCCAAGTGCCCATCTCTCCAGCCCCTGAAGGAACTAGTTTGATAATAACAGGATTTCCCAATTTTCCTCCAGTGTAGTATAACAGGAAAGATACACCATGGTAATCATGAACACGGTTCTCTGATTACCAGTTGGGTGTCCTTAGCAAAGCTCATCTCTCTCCATCTCCTTGTCTTTCCCAGTAAATGAGGAGACAGCCATGGCTATACGTTAGAGCATCACTGTGAGATCCAGATTCTTTTCTTTTTTTTTTTTTTTGGTCTTTTTGAGATAAGGTCTCCCTGTAGGCCCAGCTGGCCTAGAACTCACTACATAAGCCAGGCTGGCTTTGAACTCACAGAGATGTGCCTGCCTTTGCCTTCTGAGGGCTGGGATTAAATGAACACACCACCACACCCAGGTTGTGATCCAGATTATTTTCATGATCATGGCTTTACATAACATCACTTACTTCTCAGTGTCATGCAGGCACTGTAAAGGTGAACTTCACAGATCGTTTCATTTTATCCTCACATCGCTATGTTTTGCCAAGTTCATTGCTCTGCTTTTGAAACGTTTTAAAATTTCTCAACCTAAGAATACAGTCTAGTGGGCTGGAGCTGTAGCTCAGTTAGTACAGTGCTTACCTAGCATGTTCAAAGCCCTGGATTCGATCACCAGTACCAAAAAAAAAAAAGAAACAAAAACAAAAAAACAGGTGTAGTGGTGCATAATCCTAGCTCTGGGGAGGTAGAGAAGGAAAACATCAGGAGCTCAAGGCAATCCTCAAGTTATGTACATAGTGAGTTACAAGGTCAGTCTAGAGTTTGAGACCCTGTCTCAAAAAAATAAAAGAATAAAAAGTCCACACAAGAAGACAACAGTCACAGACACAGGGACGCAAACTCGATGCTCACATATGGGTAACTTGCCACATCCCTGAGTGATTTTTTTTTTCAATTTTGAAACAGTGAAACATGTCAGTTTTTGCTACTATAAGCAACAACAAATAAGCCTTAAGGAAAAATCTATTTGCATACAGTGGTTAGTATTTGTAGCCTTTGAATCCTAAATTAATGAGAAATAACTGAAAATATTTCTAGTCTATTTTACGTCCACATATGAAAATAACAATTTAAATGTCATTGCTTTTCTTAAAAGGTTCACAAAAAAGAAAAATAAGCCAAATCTATGTGTTTGTTGAAAGTTTTGTTTTTCTTTATATATAAGGCCTAAAAACAGTAGTAACCTAGAAAGTACTTAGACAGACAGTAAGTAAAACGAAGTGTGAAAAAAATGGTTCTGGTGTATAGCTTACACTTAACTCTGTAAGTGATCTTACACTTAACTATGTTCACTTTCTATCACTTCCTTCTAAAGCAATGAAGGCCTGAAACAGGTTTAAAAATTATGATGAAAAATTATTATTAAAGTAATAATGTTGATATCCCAAACATTAAAAAAAAAGAAAGAAAAAACTTCTTGTGAATCAATAAAAGCAGGGCTATAGGGACTAGAGAGATGGCTCAGAGGATAAGAACACTAGTGGCTCTTACAGAGGACTCAGGTTCAGTTCCCAGCACCCACACAGCAGCTAACAACCATCCGTAACTCCAGTTCCAGGAGATTAGAGGCTGTCTTCTGACTTCTGAGGGGACTGTATGCATGTGGTGCACTTACATACATGTAGGCAAAACACTCATACACATAAAATAAAAATAAATTTTTTAAAGGACTAACACAAAAATGTTCAGGGAATATACAAATGAAGAAATCAACAGGAAACATATATTGGTTGAATATACTTTATCCAAAATGCTCAGACTCAGAAGTAATATAGCTATGGAGTTTTCAGATTCGAGACTTGAATTTAAGGATATTCAATTTCAATATGCTCCAAAAAAAACAACAAAAAGGGTCTATTTTCCAATCTCAAAATCAAAATTTAAAAGGTTAAGAACATACAGTAAGTGCTGATAACAATGGGTAGGAATGAACACTCTGCTAACAACCCATTTGAGAAATCAATTTAGCAACACATATTAAAATCTCAAAGCTTCACCATGCTCTTTCTGAAAATGCATTTGGGAATAGCACATACAACTGGGCTTGAATCCACATTCAGTAACTCACTGTTGGTAATGGCCTAGACTGGGTATAAGCTAAATAACACCACAGACAAATGGTTGACTATTTCACTCTACATCCATCCTGAGGACTATCAGAAGGTGGTTAATAATGCTGAGTAGGGCTGAAGGTGTGCAACAGAGGTGGAGTTCCTGTTTAGCATGTGTGAGGCCATGGGCTCTATCTCAACACCATTATCAACAATAAAAACACTGAGGTAGAGTCACATTACACCAATTTAATACAGTATGACTTAATGATATCATACAAGGAAAAATTCTCTGCAACTAAGCCCCTGTATGGGTAGGATGATACATCACTGTGTAAAGGCTCTTATTGGGGAGAGGCGGAGGTTGAGGAGGGCTCTTGCTTCACTGGTTTATTTGCATTTGAAACAACAAAATTCCAAATATGATCTCAAAGTATGTAAAAAATACAAAAGGCGCACGAGTAGGCAGAGAGAGGGGTGGACCCTCAGCACACACTCTCTGTGCCACATGATACCTACAGAGAGGATATCACAAGACTTTTCCCCGAAGAGCCTGTTGGCTGTTCTGAGCAAGTACTGCGTGCCAGTCTTGTTCACTTCGCTGAGAAGAGACTGGAAGCCCTGGTGGACATCTCCACCTCCACTGCTGCTGCATTTATTCAAAGAAAGCACCTGAAATCAGAAAGAGAATAAAAACACATCTTCATTAGGCCCAACTATAGGAAATGAGTCAGCACTAAACGCATCCTCAGAATTCTGCACACCCTTGCTGCCTCAGAAGAACCATCTGATTAAACACCAAAAGTGCCTTGAAAGCTCCCTCTCTGGGGTCCTCCCCTGTACCCAGTCAGCCCTGGTCTGAGTAGCAATGGCCCTCCTCAGATCCCAGCTCTACATGCTCACTACCTGTGCTCTGACTGCAAACCTGGCTAACAAGGCTGCCTATCACTCAAATGTGGGTGGCTTCTGACTTCAGACCTTGGGTCTCTCCTCTGTGTTTGGTTTTAGGGTGGCTCTCTTACTGTCTGACCAACAGAATTCAACACAAATGACACTGCTCAGGCATGGGTGTCAAAAACCTGGCAGCTGCCTCATTTGTCTTTTAGTCTCAGACACCATGATGAAAGGAAGTCCAAGCTATCCTGCTGGAGGCCACATGGAGAGTCCTAGAGTTTGTGCCACCATACAAAGTTGCTTGGAAAAGGACCAAGATCCAAGCCAACGGTTAGCATCTAGGCCCCTGACATGAGGTACACTTCCTTGAACCTTCTAACCCTGCTGAAATAGCTGCATGTGTGACCTCAGCTGCTCCCACAGCAAACAGAACTGTCTATCAAGAGTGTTCCTTAAAAGAAAAGATCAGGACACAGACACACAGAAAAGATACCATCTTAGAAACCATGGAAAATCAGCCTGCCAGGCCCTGATTTAAGACTTTAGCCTCTAGAACTGTAAGAAATTAACTGTTATTTAAGTCACCCAGTCTGGGGTGTTTGTTACACAACCCTAACAGACTAACACACCTCCCCCACCTCCATTTCTAAAGAGAGTATGCACTTATCCCTCACTGTCTCCCTATCTTTTACTGGGGCAGACTGACTCTAGTTCCCACACCTCTGCACTTAAAGACCTGCACCCAAGAACAGTCTCAATTGGTTCTGTTCATGGTCTCCCAGCCAAGCCTGGCCCTACATGGAAAGAAACTTCAGAGTTCTCTGAGGGGAGCAGTCCAGTATGCCTTACCTGTTGGAAAGCTGAGAGCCTTTAAGGCCAGAGAGCACACATTTGGGTCACAGGTGGTCTTGGTGACAGGCCTTTGATATTTTTGCCCCAAGTTAACTCTCACACACACTGTCACCACAAATGGATCAGTACTAGGGTCCCAGCAGGAATGGCATATCCTTCCCATCAACTCTCCATCCGCACTCCTATGTCACCTGCAGTTGCCTGTCAAGGCCATTCCTTTGGAATTTGCAATGTGAAGGAAGGACCAACTCAACTGGCAGTCAATGGTATTGAGCTACTATATGAAATACGCTGGTTACCTCAGCCATCTGGCTTGCGGTGGTTCCCTTTGCCCCCATGAAGACCATGGCCAGAGCTGAGGAGATGCTCAGGGGTGAGAAAAATACATTTTTCGAGCTGTCTTCACCCAGTGTTTTCAAAAGGTTTAAGGCAAAGGTGCCATTTGCTTCCAACAGAGGATCCATGATGGCGAGCCTGGAAAGAGGCATTTAAAACTATTATCACATGAACACGGGCTTAGTGCAGACGGTGTCTTCACTCTCACCTACACGGTGACGCTTTGACTAGGTGAGTAAAGTGAAGTCAACACACCAAGCAAGACAGCCAAGCTAGGGACAGAGAGACTAACACAGGGCAAGTACCTTGTTTCTCATGTGCAAGAGCTCATTAACTACATGGACTATCAGAAGGAAGCAGGTGAGTAGACAAGAGGCTGGTATGGCCCCACCATCCAGGAAGCCCACAAATGCATAGAGGCCAGAAGCACTGACTGTAGGAGCAGGGCCTGTCTGTTCTGACAGCATCCACAAATAGTTATCAATTCCTATTTCCCCAGCCAGATAGTGCAGCAGTTCTAAGACATGACCACTAACTTCCCTGAGCTGTGGGTGGGGCCTTCACAATCCTACAACGGAGCACCCTTCCCTTTCCTGTGGCAAGTGGGAAGTAGGAGTGAGTCCACAGGAAAGGGAAAGGTGCTCAGCTGTAGGACTGTGAAGAGAACTGAGCACAGCTTTACAGAAACAGCTGTAGTCAGCTGGACAAAGGCCTGGAAGACATTCAGATCTCAAACCTTAGAACCCAGGAAAGTTCTCTCATTTGGCAAAAAAAAGACTGTGCTAAGGATTATGGATCTTGAGATGAAATATCCTGCATTATTCAAATGAACTCTAAATGTAACTGCAGATAGCCTTATAAAAGGGAGTGTGTCAACATAAAGAAGGAAAAGAGGTGGGAAGGGAGGGAGGAAGAAAGAGGAATTAATTAATTTAGAGAAATGAATTCTCTAGAACAACCCAAAAAAAAAAAATGTCCAAACATGGTGGAGCATCCCTATAATCACAGCCCTTGGGAGGCTGAGGCAGGATTCTCTCAAGTTCAAGGCCAAGTGAGATGCACAGGGAGACAGTAGAAAGATAGTGGAGGAATCAGGACAAGAAAGGATTTTAATTGAGAAAAGCAAAGGGATTCAATCCAGGCTGTGAGTATGATGACAGTCAAAGGCATGCCCAGAGGGGAGTGTCAAAGGGGAGCATTTAGAAGCAAAGGAGCCCATCCAAATTGCCCTTCTGAGCATGCTTACTGTGTTTCCTGGGGTTTAATTAATCTTAAGGGAGCATCTCCCCTGGCAGAAACAAGAGGTAAGAGTATAGCTGCCTGGCTCACAGTCGCCCCACCACTCCACTGCTGCTTAGCATCAAGTGTTCACTCCTGTTGCGGCCAAGCGTGTTTGTCTAGTTAGCAAACCTTGGGGCTTCGATCCCACCTGCACAGAGATTTTGGAGGATTGACAAACACTAAGTTTAGTTTTCTTGTTGCCTGGTATCTTTCTGTAAAATAAAGTATTACTTGGGTTTTCCTCATGGGAGTTGCAAATTTTACTAAGTAACTTGATCTTAAGTCAGGGTTTTTCAGGCCCTTAGAACGGTTTGTAAAACTATTATTATACTTGCTCGCCTCTGAACTTTCATATTTTAAAGTCCTAGATGGATTGTAAGCACTACTGAATTCTTATGCGTCTTTTTGGGTTTTTTGTTTGTTTGGTCTTTTTGAGACAGGGTCTCCCTGTAGCCCCAGCTGTCCTGGAACTCACTATGTAGACCAGGCTGGTCTTGAACTCACAGAGATCCGCCTGCCTCTGCCTCCTGGGATTAAAGGCGTGCGCCACCACGCCCGGCCTTATGTGTCTTTTTAAAATCACCTTATTTACTTCATCTGAACTTACTCATGGACCATGGCTTTTTACAGAGTACTTCAATGAACTGTTTGTTGTTGTTTTTGTTGTTGTTGTTGTTGTTGTTGTTGTTCTTGGGACACAAAACTGTCCTTATCTGGCTAGGGAGAATCTTTAAGCTGGTTACTTTACCCTGAGCTGCTGGTCCCAAACATTTTAGCTTTAGGGCCTTACAGGCTATGCTGAACTTTTCTAGTTTACACACATATCACTTGTCTCCTGGTTTCTTTTAATAGAGGATTTTGAAATACAAAGTCTGAATACTCTGGGAACAGATGATTATTGGTGTTGATTGAAAATACAGCTGCTGAGCTGGGGAAATGACTGACTGGGTAACGTGTTTGCCATGTAAGCATGAGGACCTGAGTTCAGATCCCCAGAACTCATGTTAAGCTGGACAAGGTAGCACACATCTGTAATCCCAGTGCTTCTCCAGCAAGGATCCAGTGGAGAATCTCTGGAAGCTCATGGTCCAGCTAGCCTGCCAAACACAAGAGCCCCTGTGCCAAACTAAGTGAAAGGCATAGTTGGATTCCTGAGGTTGGCCTCTGACCTCCATGTGGGCACCAAGGCAAATGTGTGCCTTTACACACATACACAAATGATACAAAGACAAGAAAATTCAGCTGTTTCTGCTTGACACATCAGTGACAAGCTGGGATAGATGCTGCCTTCCAAGGCCATCATGGACCATACTGTAAAACAGATTGCCATTTAAAGTTCTCAAGCACTTGTGTCTTCTAAGGCATTATTTGCACCTGGAGACATTCATCTGGACTCAGTCACACTACTCTTCATTATAAGTATGTGTCCCCACATTATGGACCACATTATTGACAGGCTTCCTTGGACCCTGCTCCGTGAATGCTGCACAGCTCAAACCCCTTTGCCAATACCATCTTCTGTTCTGAGCTCCAACACCTTCCTGATTCAAGACTTACTCCCTTATTTTGATGGAGTACACTGTCCATCACTTTCTAGGAAAGAATATTCTGATTTCTTGAATGTCAGAAAGTAACACTCTTCTTCCACTCACTGAGAGTTTTGCAGGGCCTGAAACAGGGTATGTGATTTTACATCTGATTTTTCATCAACTGCTTCGCCACTTTCCAGGTACTAGCAGGGAAAGTTCCAGCGGTGGCTACTTTATCTGCTATGCTAGCCTTGCTTTTGGAAAGTCTAATGACATTCTGACCCAAAATCCAACATCTGCACCTCTTCAACTCCAACTCCCTGGAAGTTTATGAATGATATCTTATCCATGGTATTCGGAAATACCCGAATGGTGTGTCCCTCTCTGGGCCCAGCTTGTTCATTTAGTTGGGCACATGGAGGGCCCTTTCAATCTAGCAATTCAGAAAAATTTCCTTTCACACTGGGAAAAACTTTCAAGGTACTGCTTACTTCTCACAGGTTGACTCTGTGCTCTCTGATTCTGTATCACCCATTTGTCAGATGATAAAACTCTAGGACTGACTTCATCTGGGACTTGCCCACTGTCTTAGCTACTTTTCCTGTTGCTGTGATAAAGTAACCCGAAAAAAGCAACTTAAGGGAGACTTTATTTTTGTTTCCAGTTTCAGAGTCCAATCCATCCTTGGCCAGAAAATCACTGCAGCATGAGCAAGAGCCAGCTGGTCATACCAAACTCATCATAAGGAGACAGAGGGAAATGAATGCTTATACTCAGCTAGTTTTTTTCCTTTCATGCACTCCAAAACTCAAGCCCAGGGAATGGTGTGTCTACTTTTAGGGTGGATCTTCCCACTTCAATTAACCTAATCAAAATAAGCTCTCACAAGGGCTAGAGAGATGGTTCAGCAGTTAAAAAGCACTGGCTGCTCTTGCAGAGGACCCAGGTTCAATTCCCAGCACCCACATGGTGGCTAACAACAGTCCACCACTGCATTTCCAGGGAAATCCAACGCCCTTTCTGACCTCCATGGGCATTGCATGTCACAGGTGCACTTAAAATATTTAAAATAAAATAATTTTTTAAAAAAGATAATCCCTCACAGATGTGCCTGGACTTTGTCTCCTAGGTCATCCCAGATCCTGTCAATCTGACAATCAACACTAACCATCATATCAATCTTCTCCATGTCCATGTACACACAGAGAATGGTATTTGTAGAGTACTTTGGGCCATGGCTACTGACAGCAGAGGTGTGTGGCTAAGAGCATCAGCGGAGCTGAGGGATCAGTTTGTTGACTCATCCATTTCTCTTTGCCAGCACAATACCCCAGCACACAGCTGGAAGGTCTACATAGACCGACTACGTGGCCCGATCCCAGGTCCAGAAAGCTAAGAACAGAGGTAGTGGTCTTCCACATGATCATAAGCATCCACTTACATATCCTCAGACACAGAGGAAAAATTGTTGACTTTGTTCTAATTTCATCCACTGCCACTGGTCAGAGTTAGCTATAATTCACTAAACTGTAACAAGATGCCTTCAATTGGCCTAACAGAATTTTAAATACAGTTATTTCTGGATATATGAAGGATATCACTTGGTTTCTGAAGATACCCAAATCCTCAAGTGCCCAATTGCCTTACATAAAGTAACTTCATACCTGATATAACCTATGCACACTCTCCTGGGTTCCTTAAATCATCTGTAGATGACTTAAAATACCCAAACAATAGAACACACACACATATTTTAGAGAACCAGACAAGGAAAAAGGAAAATGTTTGAGTTGAGGATTTCACTATACAATCGAGTTTTCAAACTCTCATCCTTCGGCTTCAGCCTCCTGAGTACTGGGATTATGGTGTACAGCATCATACCTGGCTTCTCCCTCAATATTCTCTGATTTTGATTTCTATGTGCTATTTCCTGTTGACTGCATATACTCTCCTTGGATACAGCCCTGCAGATACCAGGAGCCAACTGAACCCCGTTTATGAGTCAAGTATGACCCAAAACGCACCGTTTCTGCGGCAGCACAAGTCATACAGGATGCAATTACTCAGGGTAGTCATGAAGCACGGGGACACTCCCCATGTATACTGATAACAGCTGCCATCCCTGTAATCACAGTGTTACTGAGCCCCAGCACGCCAAAGCCTGCTCAGACAACCTCAATCCAAAGGTTACTTGATACGAAGACCCCACAGCACAGTCCTAAACCACACCAGGAAAGAAACTGGCAGACTGGGGAACAGTCTTAGCACAAGCATAACTGCCTCCCAACTCAAACCAAAAAAGTGCCAAACTTCAGCCCACCCCCGTCCCGCCCCCCGGAATCCAGTGTTCCTGACACCGAGTGAGTGTTCACTTTCCATACTTCACATTCTCAAAACAACTTTGGGGGAAAATGAGAAAGCGTGAGCTGAGGCTCCCTTGGCAGAGCACTTGTCCAGCAGTTGTCTCCGAGTCCATCAACAACAGAGAGAGGAAGAAACTAACTCACAGACCAACTTCATCTGTCACAGAAACGCCATCAAAACTTTCCACATGTGCTCTTAGGCTGGAAGACATTAAACCTCAAAACATTTCTCCTGTGGTGACTTTAACAGAAAGCAAAGATCTGGAATTGTCCCATCTCCGCTGGCCCCAGGGCCTCCAAAGGGCGCTGTTCTGCCCAGCCCCGGCCGCGCCCCGGGGAGACTGAGCAGGCACAGGAACGCGATCCGCCCTCCCAGCCCCGACCTCTCCCAGCTCTCCGCTCCCCACCCTCCGAAATCCTAACGCCTGTCGCACTGCGTCACGAGGCCGCGTCTTCGTCTCGCTGCAGCCGGGGTCGCTCGTGGCTGGGCGGCGGGCGAGGTCACCTGTGGCCCGGGGTCCCCAGAGAGCAGTCCGGCCGGCTCCCCGCCATCGCCTCCCTCGGTCGCTGCCCGGCGTCCGGGATCCCGGGTCAACGGCGCCACCAGCAGGCCAGGACCGCACGCCACTCATCCGGGGCGTCACGGACCCAGCGGCCTCAGCACAGCACAGGGAAGCCGAGCCCGGACCGCAGGGGCCACGGCCGCGCCCCGTGCCCGGAACAAGGCAGCAGCGGGTCCTCGCGCCCAACGAGCCCGCAGCAGACGCCTACCCCGGACCCTCGGTACCTGGGTTGCAGCGAGCAGAGCCGGGAGATGAAGACGTCCGCGCCGCCACGGCCTCAAATACCTGCGGAGCGGGAAGCGGGCGGAGTCTGGAGCCCAGCCCGGGGCGCACCGGTCCGCGGCCACCGGCAGAGGGCCAGAGGGCCAGAAGGCAGGGCCCGCCGGCCGACCAATCAAGTCCATCCTCTGGCTCCAGGCGGCCCTTGCCAACTGGGCGTTGGTCCTTTCTGGTTCTGGTTACCTTGACTTGGTGCTCGAGGAAAGCAGGGAGGTGATCAAACCTCGGCGTGGGCTTCTGGGTGGTTTCCGACAGAGGGCGACACTGCGGCCGCCACCAGCCTGTTCACTGTCATTGTAGAGATTGATGACAGCCTCTGTGAAACAAGTGCGCCAGCCCTCCGTGGGATGAACGCAACAGAGCAGAGCAGACATTTAAAGTTAAGAAAAAAGGCTTTTACTGCGGGCGCTGGAGATAGAGCGCACAGAAAAACAAGAAACAATGGCGTTCGATGCCTGTGTTTCAAGACTCCACTACTCTAATTCCAGAGAATTAGACTTTAAAGTACTGACAGTTTACATAAGCGACAGTGGAAACCTTGTCTGCCATCTCCCATCGGTCCTGGAAAGCAAGATGGCCAGGTGGGGAGAGTGCTGGCCAGGTTCAACAGTCAGATCAAATCTGGAAAACACAGGGCTTTCTCTGCCTCCCTCCCCCTTACCCTAAGCCAAGGATTCCCACCTACGACCTTGTTCTGTATATTGGATGTGTCCTGGTTGTGGAAGCTGTCCTGACCTTACAGAATGTTTAGCAGCCCCCAAATCCCTCTACCTAGCAGATGAGTCACCATGCCTGGCTTCTGTTTGGTCTGCTTACTTCTTAAGGTCTGTTTACATGTAAGCATAATTAGTCCTTTGTGAATATTTTATTAATATTTTGCCCAGTTTGTCATCTGGTTTCTCACTCTGCTTCTGGGGATTGGGGCATACAGTTACTTTCATGTAGTCAGATTTAGTGATTTTTCTCTGAGAGTTTCTAGATTTCTTTTTGGTCATGCTTAGCATGTCTTCCTCTAGGTTGGAGTTCACAGTGCCTTCCAGATGATTTCTGGTTTCATTTCTTATATTTAAGTTGCTGGCTCAGGGTTAAGAGCACGTGCTGCTCTTCCAGAGGATCCTGATATGGTTTCCAGCACCCACATGGTAGCTAACAACATTCCCTAACTCCAGTTCCATGACATCTGACACCCTCTCTGACCTCTGTGTGCATTGTATGACACGGGTGCACTTATATACATGTAGGAAATACATTCACACACATACAATAAAAAATTTTAGCTCGTTCAGTGTTTTTTTTTCTCCTGGCCTATGAGTGACATAGATATGATTTTTACCTCATTTCCAAATGAGTTTCCAGTTGTTCCAGCTCTGTTTATGTAAAGATCATATTTTCACTAAGGCCCTAACAAGCCACATACCAAATAGCTATGTATGTTTGATTCTGTTTCTGTACTTTATTTTTGGTCCCACTAGCCACACTCCCACCTGCAGGTGTACTCTCCCAACTGCAGATGGTGTACTATCTTGGAGGGCTGGTCCCTTCATTGCTCTTCCAGAAGTTTCAGATTTTCCAGATATCTATGCCCTTTTTGTTTTTATACACACTTGAACTTTAACTTCCTTACCTCTACACAAAAGAGGAAAAAGAAAAAAAGAACCATGTTGGTGGGTCTGTTAGGATCATATTGAATTTATATTTCCTTGTTGTGAAACAATATTTGTACATGATTTAGCTACATCTTTCCATTAAACCCAATTTTTTTTTCTGTAGATCATCACAGCAACTCTGCTCCATGGTAGCCAATGGTCATGTCACAGCAGAGAAAATACCTCCACTACAGCAGAAGGTTTGGTTCTGATTAGTAAATTGCCTTAAAGAAATCTTCCCAGAAGCTGGAGAGATAGCCCAGTCATTAGCAGCACTGGCTGCTCTTGCAGAGGACACGGATTCCATTCCCAATTCCAGGGGATGAGATGCCCTCTTCTTGCCTCTGCAGGCATTGCATGCATGTGGTGTATCTATATACATACAAGCAAAACACTCAAAACACATAAAATAAAATTAATTTTTTTTAAAAAGTAGCTCAGTGTGGTAGCACATGCCTATAATCCCAGCACTTAGGAGATAGAGTCAGGCAGACTCTTACTCCATGTGGTTGAGGCCAGCCTGGTCTACACAGTGAGTTCCAGGTCAGCTGCGGCTAGAGGAAGTCTCTAAAAAGAAAAATTTGGTGGCTGGAGAGTGGCTTAGCGGTTAAGAGCACTGATTGCTCTTGCAGAGGACCTGGGTTGATTCCCAGCACCCACATGGCAGCCATGAACCGTCCTTAACTCCAGTTCCAGAGGAATCTGAAACCCTCTTCTGACCTCCGAGGAATTGCACGACACGGATGCACTCACACACATGCAGGCAATACACTCATACACATAAAATAAAAATAATAAAAAAATATTTTTAGAAAGAAAAAAAAATGTAAAGAAATCTTTCCAAATTACGTAGGTTAATAATTTGGGGACTCAGCATCTTCCTAGAAAAAATTCTCTAACATGAATTCTCTAATGCATATTCATCACATTTCATAACTGCTAGGCTTATAACGAAAATATAACCCAGGGATTTCTGTATGTTAAACCCACACTTGTCACTGATCTCCCTTCCCCAGGCCAGACTCCCGAACTGCAATTTTTTGTAAAAACTCCCAAACCATTGTTCAGAACTTGGTAATAAAGAGCTAAACTTTACTGTATTCCATCACTCATAGCTCTTACATAGTTGCTTCTCTTTCTCCTCTTCCTCATTTAATCAGGAGGTGAACTGTGCTTATTCTCTGGTGCAGACCCTCACCCTTCCCTGGACCCTGGATGGTGCAGGAAGAGGACGGAACCCTGAGCAGGAGGTGTCAATGACTCCTCAGTCATTGCTTCTTACTTGTGCTCCTGGCTTTTCAGAGCCTGAGTCACCACCCACAGCAAGTGCCCAGGCTGTTGTACTGGAAGCATCTCAGTAACATAAGTGAGGCAGTGGATGGTGCAAGAGGGTAATGCCACCAAAGAGGCTGGATAAGGACAGAGGCAAGGAAACGTGCCCCAGTCCGTTTGCTGACATCTGCACATACAGATGCTGTTCAGTGATATTCAGTGACTCATTGGTGTCTAATATTTAGAAAATTCACAGGAGACATCGTGATGTCAGGAGAAAGACTGATTCCAGAAGGTCTTTTTCTTTCTGTCCCCAGCTTAATCGGTCCCTGCTGCTAATCATTACTGGATACAGATGGCTCTTATTTAGTCATAACGTGATGTTTTCTTTCCCCAGCTTCCTTGATGGGGATATAACCAGCTTGGACTTTAGGACTCTGCATCATAAAAGCAAACAAAAGACTTATTGGTGGCTACACAGTCTGAATTTCCAATCAGGAGATTAGAAGCTGGACATAGTGGTACAGCTCTGTTATCACACCACTTGGGTGCAGAGGGAGGCTGATATAAGTTCAAGGTCAACCTGAGCTACATAGACACAGTCTCGAAGAAAAGGAGGCTTGAGAGATGGCTCACTGGGTAAGAGCTCTTTCTGTGCAAGCATGAAAATGTGAATTCACATCCCAGTACCCATATAAAAAGTCAGGGGTGAGTATGAGTATGCCAATGACGTTGTACTATGTGGGGCAGAGACAGTTGGATCATTGAGACTTGCTGGCTGACATACTAGCTCCAGGTTAAGTGAGAGAGCCTGTCTCAAAGGAATAAAGCAGAGTATGACAGATCTGGACACTCCTCCTCTGGCCTCCAAAGAGTACCAAACACTCTACACACTTGTGCATATAACACACACACACACACACACACACACGCACGCAGGGTGAGGGGGGAGAGAATGAAAAGAGACTGACCAGGCATCTTAGTCATGAGTAACAAACACGGCTCATTTTATTCATGCATTTTGGATTGTTTCTCAGTAAACAGTTTGTTTTCCTGCGTTCTATCTGGGGTGAGACAACTTGTTAGGAATCAAATTTAGGGTCTCCCACATGCTAAACATACACTGTATCACTGAGCTATATCACCAGCCCCTCCTGCATGCTACTTATGAGGACAAACTCCTTTCCAAGTGGTAGGTATCACAGACTGACACACATTCCATAAGAATGCTGTGGCCCACATGTCATTGATTGAACACATCACAGAACAGCAACTAAGAAATCATCATGCCTGGGAATGTCCCATCCTGCTGCCACAGAAGAAAGGCTTTCCTCTCAGTTTGTAGCTGCACAAACTTCACCCTGATGTACATTTCATAACATCAATACTATTCTCCATGTTATGAAAAAGTCAGAGGTAGACGTGGATCGTGCTGATTTGGCAATACTTGAAAACAGCACAATGAATGGGACCAAGTAAGGCTGAATGTCTAGTCAACTGGAACCTTAGAGGAGAGCAAACTCACCCAGTGGATTACCCCACCCACAATTGGGTCAATGATTCACTGTACCAATTTCACTGATGTGTATTTGCCATGCAACTGTAGTGTAAGACTGTGATTGTTCAGTGATAGAATCCTTACACAAAAATTTCCAGGGAAAAACCATGCCTGTGTAATTTCCCTACATACATTGAGATAATGTAGGTCCAAGTTTGTCATAAACAACAGAAAAGTTATGCAAATGGCATACAGCAAAGCTTCATCAGAAATATCATGATACTTTACAGCTGTTCATGTCAAGTGATCCAACAATTTTTCCACTGAATGATAACAGTCATTCCGAGTGACCCAGCTATGAAGCCTGGTTGGGTCATAAATCAGTTCTTAAAGAAATAGACAAAGCAGGCAGCAGGGAATATTACAAGACCATGAAAATAGACAATAATGTATTACCTTACCCCCTGCTAGTGAAAAACATCAGGAGGCCAGTTTAAAATAAGACCTTGTGAGGCTAGAGAGATGGCTCAGTGGTTAAGAACACTGGCTATTCTTGCAGAACACACAGGTTCAAATCCCAGCACCCACATGGCAAGCTACCAACCATTACTAACCATCAGTAACTCCAATTCCAGGGAATCCAACACCCTCTTCTGTCCTCTTCTGGCACTGCACCACATGGGTGCACTTACATACATGCAGGCATAACATTCATACACATAAAATTTTAAAAAATAATTTAAAAAC